ATTACTGGAAAGAGAAACTACTGAACTATATTCACAAATTCCAATCCATTGGCAGAGGTATGAAGAAAGATGATGGTTTCATGGCATACTACATTTATTAATACATGTGTACTTCTTATTGCACATATAGCAAAAGAAATCTTCTCAGTTTTGACAGTTTTGAACCATGGAAAATTTAGTTTTGGTGAGCAGCTATATTGTTTTCACACATCAGTACTAACTGACCACTGTAAAGACCTGAAAGACCTGATCACCTCAGTGGCGTCCCTAGGGTTGGTGTCACCCGGGATGGGAACTCATGGTGTCACCCCCCATTGACCTCCACCCATTTCACGCCATACAGAATCCTTAGCAATGCTTTTTTGCGCTAATGTTATTTGTAAATCACAATTCCTATATATCACTGAATGTACTGCTAAGAGTTGTGACATAAACAACTAGCAAAATTAAAATTATACCTTCAAATTACAATATCATATGCACACCCTAAATGTATTTACATATAAATAGTGAAAATTTGGTTAAAATGTGATGTTTTAAAATAAAATTTTAAAAGAATTTTTAAAAATTAAAATTATTTTTTATTTATTAAAAATTAAAATTTTGAAATTTGAAAATTTAATTTAAAAAAAATCTGGGGCCACTCCTTCCTTCTCCCACTGAGCTTTAGCCCACTTCCACCATCTCTTAAAAGCATTTTAAAGGGAAGCAGATGAATGCCATAGCCTGTTTCTGTCCAAAGGTAGGTGTTTGAGGAGCAGTGGTGTCACCCCCTTGTAGGGTGTCACCTGGTGCAGTCTGTGTCCCCTTCATCCCCCTAATGATGCCACTGGATCACCTAATTTATTCAGTCCTTTGAAAATTTAAGGCAAGGGACATGATTTGCATCTCTGGATCCTATTACACTCTATCCCACTCCCACAACTGTATAAATCTGCTTTAGGCCTGAGGCCTTAATACCACTCCGTATGGTAGCTGAAGGAGTGGGTTCATACCCACATAAGCTCATGCAAAAATAAAAACAAGTTAGTCTTAAAGATGCTGCCACATTTCCTTCCCCCCTCTTTTCTCCCCCTTCCTCATTTTTGTGCCATGAAAAGAAATATCTGTCCGTATGTCACAATTATTTGGTTTACTTTCAAGCACCAGATGATCTGGTATATTGTTGCTGAAGAACTCCGGAGGGCAGATGGTAAGGTAACACTTCTTGTTATCCTATATCTATAGTTCTTGTTGAGTTCATTTGCAGCCGGTAACTAAGACGGCTCCTCATCAACGGTTGTGGGGCAAAATGCCAAATAGCATTTCTTATGCAGCACAAACTAAGTTATTATATTGATAGATCTGAGGTAATAACAAACAACATACAGGTGCTTTACACTTTTTCATTTGTAAATGCAGAACTCCCACACAGATGAGAATTTTAAGCAGGATTGGGTAAATACTCTCCTTAGAACAGGGGTAGGCAACCTAAGGCCCA